TCCCGTGCGGTGCAGTGGCCGACAGACAGCCGTCTGCGCACGAGCAGGCGGGAGGCGGGGGCAGCGGAGGCGGCGGGGCGGGGCCCTGGACAGAGGAAAGCAGCCAGCCGCCTCTGTGGGGCCGAGCCCGTCCGGCCTGGGAAAGCCCGCGGAGCGGGCTGGGGAGAGATTATTTTGGGCGAGTCCGCCACCAAATTGCCCGTTCCATCTGCTTGCTTCTCCCTCAAAAACCATTTTGAGCAGAAACAAAACCACGGGGCAAGTGAGACACTTGGGAAAAGCTTAACTACTAGTGGTTCCCAGGGCCAGCCTGCAGGGACCTGCGCCTTTTAGCGCAGAGTCCCTGGGGTGGGGGTCGGGGGAGCCACCAGGGTGGTCCGTGGGCACTTGCGTGCGCAGGACGACAGGACAGCCAGCTGGCCTGAGGACTGCGCTGAGAAACAGCCTTTCTTGGAGCTGGAAGCCCAGGAATTTCTCCTAAGGAAACGTTCTAAATTTGGGAAAAAACTTCCCTCTTCCCTCCCTCCCGCTCTGTCTTTCTCTCCGTCTCCTCCGCCTCCCCCGACCCCAACCCTGCGCAAGCGTGCTCGGTGTCGTGTTGGTGATGACAGCAAACACTGGCCTCATCGCCTACTGGCCTGTGAAGACTCTTTCAGAGCCTTGTTGCCTGACTGGCAGGATGTGGAAACCGTTTCCTTCAGTGCTGAGTAAACACAGCAGAGCAGGAACCGGCATCTGCCCGCTGATTCCAGCTCGATGCCACGGGACGCGGGAACACCTGAGAAGTCACGGTGGCAGCCGCGCCCTGGTTCTGTCCCTGTGCCTTTCCCTCCCCGTCCTGCCCTCTGTAAAAGCTCCACACCAACTACACATTGCTATTGCTCCTAGTAAGCTTGGGAACAGTGTTGCTTTACACACCTGTCGTTATTAGCTGTCGATACGAAGTATCTTAGAGAACTTTAATCACAAACCCAAATGCAGAATGTCCGGGGAGCCGTCGGCTGGCCCCCATGGGTCCCACCCACACAGGGGGGTGGGGGCGGGGGCGCCAGGAGCGGTCAGAGCCCCTCGTGGGGCAGGTAGCTGGGGGCCGACAGCATCATCCATGGTGGGGGCGGCAGGCAGGCCCGAGCTGGCCCCCAGCTCCCGCATTCCTCCCCCAGGAGGCCTGGACGTCGAGGAAGTGCTGCCCTCGGGCCACCCGCCAACCTCCATTCGCTTCACCCACCACTCCTACGCCCAGATGGTGCGCGTGCTGAAGCGGACGGCGGCCCACTGCTCCCACATCGCCAAGACCTACAGCATTGGGCGCAGCTTCGATGGCCGGGACCTGCTGGTCATCGAGTTCTCCAGCCGCCCTGGCCAGCACGAGCTGAGTAAGTCACAGTCACCGTCAGGGGCCAGGAAAAGGCTCTGGCCTGCTTGGTCTTGGGCTGCACAAGCTGGTCCAGGATCTTAATCAAAGCCCCTGATGTTTAGGGGACAGGGTGTGGGCGGGGCCTTCGGGATGTGCTTGTGTGTGCACCACGTCCCACGGGGCCTGTGCGACCACTGTCATGGCCCCGTCGCTGAGGGCTGGTGGGGGCAGGAAGGAGAGGCACAGTCACGGGGGAGGAAGCGAGGGGTGGACAGTCGCTGCAGGCACGTCGGGCCTTGTGCGTCCATTGTGAAAGCTAACCGTGCTTTGTGCATTTCGTTGTTTTTGCAAACGTGCCCTGGCTCACCTGGACCCAGGCAGGTACGTGGGGCGCTGGGCCCTGGCCCTTGGCGTCTGCCCCCCGAGCTGCTGGGCACACCCAATCTTGCAGAGTGATGTGGATACAGCCGTCCTTCCATTTATTTAAAAGCCAAGTCCATTTCAGCCCACCAGGCTCAGGCCCTGTGTTGAGATGGGGGCCACGTGGGGGTGTTGGGTCTCACTGTCCACGGGGCTGCGTCCTTACAGGGCTGAGGAGGGTCAGACTGCCCCGCGGTCGCGGTTCACCTGCCACTGTCACTGCGGAGGTCATCCAGCCACGGTGCGGGTGTGGGAAAAAATTACCGTGAAACTGAATTTCAGGGGCAGGTTGAGGAAATGGCAGCGGGCCCAGGGAATGGGGCTCGGGGTCTGGCCCAAGAGCCCAGACAGCCTAGCAGAGAATCAGCGCCCTGGCGAGGCGAGAATGACCACGTGGCCCGCTCCGGGCCCAGGGGCTCACTTCTGGCCTCTGCCGCGGAGTCAGTGAGTGGGGGTCCCAGTGCTTCCTCGCCTGGTCCCTCAGCTGTCTGTGCCTGTGGCCACCTGAGTCAGAGGGAATCAACCTAAAGCAGTCCCACCTGGCCTTGGTTTTTAGAAGTACTGCGACATACACCTCATCCTGGTTAAGCAGCTCCGGCTCTCTCTGCTGGGCTGTCCCCATGCATCCCAGCCTCCATCCTGGAGGCTTGGGGCAGCGTGGACCACGTGAGCCCCAAGCCCTGTCTCCTGCGGGAGAGGTCATCTAGCCCCACCCCAGCCTCCAAGGCCCACCCACCCTGCCTCCCAGCCCTCTAGCTTCTGGCGCGTGCTCTGCCTCCTGCCGTCAGATTGGCCTGTAGCTTTGGAACCTGTGGGAGATGGGTGTCCCCAGTGAGAAGGCCAAGGGATGTGACTATCGTGGACAGCCTCAGGGTCGTTAATACCCTTGGAATGGGGGCGGCATGGGCACATGTTCCCACCGCTGGAGTCCCTGAGCGGTGCACAGCCGGGGGAGGAGGTGCCACTTTCCAGATGAGTGCTGTGAAGCGCGGAGCAGAGAGGCGACCTGTCCAAGGTCACACAGCCAGTAAGGCTGCCAGGCCCCTGTGTGCTCTTCCTCCCATTCACGCACCATCCATCCATCCTTCCATGCAGTCAGCCACCCATCCACCTGTGCATCCTTCCATCTGTCTGTCCACCCACCTTCCATCCGTCTCCTTCCTTCCTTCCTCCTTTCCATCCACTCACTTATCCACCCATCCTTCCCTTCATCTTCCAACCGTATCCTTTCTCCCTTCCTTCTTTCTTTCCTTCCATCCATCTGTCCATCCATCCAAGGACCAGCTGCCTTCCCATCTAAGCACCAGTGTACACCTTGATTTATTGCACAAACATGATGAACGGCTATGGATGAAATTCACATGGACCAATGCTAACATACGTCATTATTAGTCAATATCCTTGTTCTGTCCTGCTGGTAATTACGGCTGATAACGAACGTGCTCCGCGAAAGTGATGACCCTCAAGAGACCTGGTTAGTCACGGAGACGCTTGGGCCAAAACAAGCATGAATAGTTTTCAAAACAACTGGCTGCACTTGCCCTGGGGCCCTCAAGTCTCCGGGGACCCGGGGCTTTGAGACGGCCCCCTGGGCACTGTGTCTCCCCTCAGTGGAGCCCGAGGTGAAGCTGATAGGCAATATCCATGGCAACGAGGTGGCGGGACGGGAGATGCTCATCTACCTGGCCCAGTACCTGTGCTCTGAGTACCTGCTGGGCAGCCCCCGCATCCAGCGCCTGCTCAACACCACCCGCATCCACCTGCTGCCCTCCATGAACCCTGACGGCTACGAGGTAGCGGCTGCTGAGGTGAGCACCCTGCCTTGAGCTGGTCCCACACGACCCCGCTCGTCCACTGCTGTCAGGGCTCTCTGTGCCCGCCGTCTGGGTGCTGACAACTCAGCAGGCATCGGCACCAGGTCCTGCTCGGAGGAGGGACGGACGCTGATAGGGCTGTGGTGTGTTAAAGAGGATGCTCGTGGTGGAAACACAATGAGCAGGGAGGGGAGGGGAGGGGAGGGGTGGGAGTGTGCGCAAGCCAGGGGAGCGGGCTCCGGGAGGCGGTGCCTTGAGCAGGGTCCTGCCGGAGGTGCGGAGCGGGCAGTGCCTCCCTGGCGTGGGGCCCTCCAGGCGGGGCACAGCCAGGGCAAGCTCTGTGGTCAGAGGACCCGCCAGGAGGCCCGAGAGATGGCAGAGGGGGTCCAGGGCAGCTCGGTGGACGTGCTCCCAGGTTCATCCCATGAAGCCAGACAGAAACTCCAGTCCCGCCTCTGGCTCTCCGCCCAGCCCTGTGGGCTCCCTCCAGAAGGATCAGGGTGGGCGTGCTGAGCCCTGTCGGGGGGTGGCCTGTGTGTCCAGGGTGCCGGCTACAATGGGTGGACGAGTGGGAGGCAGAATGCCCAGAACCTGGACCTGAACCGTAACTTCCCGGACCTGACGTCGGAGTACTACCGCCTGGCCTCCACCCGCGGCGCACGCAGCGACCACATCGCCATCCCACAGCACTACTGGTGGGGTAAGGTAGGAGCCATGCCAGTGCCCAGCTGGCACGTCCGAGGGGCTCCAGCTACTCCCCTAGGGCAGGAGAGCCTTACGCTCTGAGCCTTGGTTCCTCCTGTGAAATGGGGCTAATTCTCACTGGGTCGTCGATGGGATTCAGGGAGCATGCACTGAAAGCGTCCGGAGTCTGGCAGGTGCTCAGTGACGGGGGCCCAGGAGGGCTGCCTGGAGGGCAGGAGGTGGGGAAGTGCGTTGCAGGCCTGAGGATGAGGCCTGACGGAATCCTAAAGCTCGGGCATCGGGCTGAGTGGTCCTCAGGCCGCCTCCCCCGCCTGGGCAGGTGGCCCCCGAGACCAAGGCGATAATGAAGTGGATGAGGTCCACCCCCTTCGTGCTCTCGGCCAGCCTCCACGGGGGCGACTTGGTGGTTTCCTACCCCTTCGACTTCTCCAAGCACCCCCAGGAGGAGAAGATGTTTTCTCCCACGCCCGACGAGAAGGTGAGAGGCCATGGCGGGGCGGGCGTGCTGGGGGTGGTGCCCTCGGGGCTGACCCCGAGTCCTTCCTGTTCTGAGGTCAGTGAAGCCCAGGAGTTCTAAGCCATTTGGAGCCTTCCAGGCTCAGCTCCAAATCCCCTCCTCCAAGAAGCCTTCCAGCTGGAAGCAGCCCCTCCCTCCTCTGACCACACCCCCTTCCATCTAGGTCCCTGTCTAGGAGCTCCTGGGGTGGGGACCCTGGCGGAGTGTCCTCCCACCAGGCCGCCCAGTGTTTTCGGTCCAGGGAGGGTGGGATTCCGGGCGACGCCGGCAGAGGGCAGTGCTGCCTTGTGCATGGCCCCTGGCTGGCTCCCGGCATCTCCCTCCTTCTTGTGGGCCTTGCTGGTTTGTTCCGGGTCAGATTCCCTGGGAGTCGGGGGTGCAGTGGGATGGAGCAGGAATTCTGGTCCTGGCGTCCACTTGGGCTCTGAGGAGGCGCCTCCCCTTCCCAGGCCTATTTCCCTCACTGGTCAGACCAGCAGGGATGACACATGTGACAGTGGCCATGGTGGCTGGACCCTTCTCCAGCCCCATTCTTCCCTGAAGCGGAATTGGTTCCCTGGGGGCACCAGGTGAGGGAGGGGGTGATCTCTGATGGGTCACAGCCAAGGACACTGGAGCTCAGCTGCCCAAACTGTCCCTGCTGACCCCAGCCCCCGAGGCCAGCTCCTGCCCTCTGGGAAAGACAAAGCCTGAAGCTCTTTCTGTGACCAGCCAGGGTGGAGGTGGTTTGGAAAGGTCTGAGCTGTCCGCTTGGTCACTCAGCAGGCCCCCTGCTGGACTGGACTCAGGGTGGAGAGCCAGGCCTGCCCTCTGCCGCCTGCCCCCACTTTCCACCTGGTGCTGGGGGCAGGGCAGGGAGGGGGCTGGTCCTGGACGGACAAGTGCCTCACCCAGCCCCTCCCTGTGTGTGGTGGGTCCCGTAGCCACCGCGGCCAACAGGACTGGGCCCTGCACTGAGGGTCTTAGTCTCGGGTGGGAGGCGAAGGCAGAAACGGGAAAGGATGAGCAGGTGCAGCCTGGGCCCAGACAGACAACTGCCCAAGAGGCCCGGGGCACGCGGGGTGCGGTGTGTGGGTGTGCGCATGTTCATATGGGGTGGACTCCCAACGTTGAGGTTGGCCTAAGAAGAGTGTCCCCGAGGGACAGCTACCCCAGTGGAACCTGAAGAATCAGGTGGAGACTTTCCACACCCCCTTCACCCCAGGAGTGAGGACTCAGGGGACCCTGAGCAGTGGGAGCTGGGGGACCCAGCAGGGAAACGCTGAACCCCCGCCTCCTCCTCCAGGGCCAGGGAAGCAGCACCTGTGTCCCCTCCCCTCATCGTTCCTGCGTTCATTCTGGCTCTCACTCACTCATTCACTCACTCAGTCACTGACTCCTGTAACCAGCACATGCCTAGAGGCTGGCGGGGGCCAGGTTCTACGCTTGGAGCTCAGTCCGAACCCCGGGGGTGGCTGGGTGGTCTCCGCTCTGCCTGATCTGCGCCCTGCTGTGCTGTGGGAGAGCAGGGCCAACAACTGGGCGAGGCCTGTGTCCTCTGGGCGGCAGGGGCCCCTGGGGCGCCGGGCCCAGTGTCTCTGAACCCCAGAGGCAGATGCGTGATGATACCTCTAGTGGGGAGGCTGGCCTCAACGAGTCCCCGCAGAGTCAGAAAGCGGAGAGTCCTCCCACCAGCCATCAATCACCGATCAATAACCCTTCAGCCCTGCAGCCAGTGGTGGGCTCTGTGGAAACCAGGGTCCCGGGAGAGGCTTGGGGAGTGGAGGAGTGAGAGGAGGGGCTGGCCAGCGTGCCCCCCCGGAAGTCACGCCCCCAAACTTCCATGGTACCCCGTGGATGAGGGCCAGAGCCTCCGGGCAGCTTTCAAGGCCCCAGGCTGGCTAGGGCTGCCTGCCTCATCTCCTTTGTCCCCCACCTGCCCCTCTTGCCAAGATCTTGCTCCTCAGCTCGACTCAAGCTCTGTCCTGCTCTCCAGGCACCCCCGACCCAGCCCTCAGCCCCAGTGGAAAGGGCTGAGGTTCATCCAGATCTTGGGCAGGCTGGGCCTTCTCCCGGCCTTGACCCCTGTTTCTGGGCCCTGGGCCAGCACAGGCCTGCCCCTCCCAGAAGCCCACCACACCACACCTTATTTTGTTTGGAGTTCTCTGTGTATCTCTGTGTGTTCCCTCCCCACTTTGCCCATTCATGCCTGGCCTCTGGGCAGAGCTGCTCCCCAAGACCCTGTTCTGTGTCCACCACCCCCTACCCCTTCCCAGGGCAGGCCAGTTCCCAGCTGGCCCTGGGGTTGTGGGGACTGGTGGTGATTTTCCCTGCTCTCCTGAGGGGGCTAACAGGTGACAGGTGACAGGAGAAGGCCCCTGGGCAGGATGAGGAGAGACACTGGGCGGGAGGACGGGAGGGGAGCAGAGGGCTGGGTCCAACCTCCCCCCTCCAGCCTGTGTCCCGCAGACACATGGTGGAGGCTGGAGAGGTGGGGCTCCGGGGAGAGTTATTTAAACAACCCCATTGGGTTGACGCCTGGCTGAAGATGGTGGAAGCTGACCACAGCCCAGGTGTGGCAGGGGCTGCTGGCAGGAGGGCAGCCCCTCACCGCCGACCTCTGGGATGGAATGACATGGTGGGCTTGTGTTTTGGTTGCTTGGTTTGTGTCAGGGGGACCAAGTGGAAACTGCCATCTTTTCCCTGAGAAACTGAACCCTCCTTCCCCAAACCCCAGGTCTTGGGGTTGGAATCACCAGGAGAGACCCCTACTCTGGCCTGGAGCAGCTCCCTATTACTGACCCCACCTGTCCACCTCCCCCTTTTTAAGGAGGGATCCCTTCCCAGGACAGACTTCTCCCAGGGCCGGGGGGCCTGACAGGCCCAGGGCGGCGAGCCCCTTATCCACCTGACCCCTGCTTGGGGGCCTCCACCCTGGATCAGACAGTGTCTGGCACTGGGACGTTCAGATGACTGAGTCCTGCCTGGGAGGGGGACTTGGGGGCCTGCCGCGGGTCGGGGATGTTATGGGGGAGCTCTGGGCTGGGGGAGGCCAGAGGAGGGGGAACTGTGCACTGCCTGGAGTCCAGGCCACACCCAGATAGGCCCTGCCCGGTGAGCTGTGCCCTGTGTCCGTCCACCCGCGGTGGCGGAAATGCCTGTGGCTACGGCAGCAGGCAGGTGGGCTCCCGCGGGTGCTGGTTGTGACGATTATCACAGAAGTTCATTGGCAAAACTGAGGCCCACTCCAGCCTCCCGCCTCTCCCCGAGGCCTGCCCTCTGCCCAGAGGCAGAAAATGCTCTAGAAATGGCAAAGCTGACCTCCAGGTGCCCTGCCAGGATCACTGCCAGGTGCCCCCTTCATGAGGAAGCCCACGTTCTCTCACCAGGTGTGCAGGGCTCCACGATGTGCTCACGTACCCACCACTGGAGCCCTGAGCTCTGGCCATCCTGCTTCTGGGCCTTTGCACGTGCTGAGCCCTCTGCATGGACACTGGCCCCCTCTCCCGCCCAAGCTGCTGGTGTTTGCTGTGGTGGCCCCTCCCTCAAAAGACCTTCTCCTCACCCCACTGCCCCCAGCTCTGAGGGCGTCCTGCAGAACACCCCACCTTCTGGTCTTGGCTTCAGGGGATCTCTCTGTCTCCTTTCCAGATGTTCAAACTGCTGGCCAGAGCCTATGCCGACATGCACCCCATGATGATGGACAAGTCGGAGAACAGGTGTGGAGGCAACTTCCTGAAGAGAGGCAGCATCATCAACGGGGCAGACTGGTACAGCTTCACGGGAGGTACGCCTGGGGAGGGCGGGGCCGGGTGGGAGAGGGGGCTGGGGAGGGGGAGGGGCGGGGCGGGGCTGGGGCATCTATGGGGCGGACTTGTACAGCTTCACGGGAGGTATGCTGGAGAGGGTGGTGCTGGGGCTGGGGCCTCTGCGTAGCAGCTTTTCCTGGGAACTTGATTCTGGGACATCTGGAAGGTGGGAGAGCAGCAAAGACGCATCACGGTGTGTGGGGAGGCTCCCACCCAGGGGCGGGAGCACTGGACCTGGCTTACTTCAGTTCTGGTGACTGGCTGGACGGTGATCTCTGTGTGACTGTTGCGGACAAGCTGGAGTGGGACCCGAGAGAGCATGGGGCGAGGGGCCAGGTGCAGGGCAGTGTGACTGCACTGCAGATGTGAACGTTAAGTCAGGAACGGCGGCCGCCTGGGACCCGGGCTCAGGGGAGGCCCTGAAGCTCTGAAGGGCGGGGCCCTGGCAGCTCCCGGCACCAGCTGCCCCATCGGTGCCCCCGGGCTGCCTCGGAGCATGACTGCAGGGTCTGCTGGACACAAACTCCAAAAGCAGATGGAGTGGAGGGCGGAAGTGGGTGGGGTGGCGGTCAGCCCCGGAGCCTCCACCACCTCCCTGGCCGGCTGTCAGCCCTGCTGGCCAGGGCTCCCTCTGGAGACGGAGGTCATGGACACTCCCTCCCTGGGCTGTCCCTGGGACTGTCCAGGAAAAGGGATGCTATTACCTGTGGGGTCCCAGCCAGGGGAGGGCCAGCAGCCCGGACCCCAGGGGCCGGCTCCCCTAATGGAAGTGGCTAGTTGGTCCTCCCGACCCTGAGGGGCTGCACAGATGTGCGTGAGCCCGCAGACGTGGGCGCCAAGCCACTTGGTTCCCAGTGCAGCTCCCCTGCCTCCCTGGGGACCTCAGGTGGGAGCCGTGAAGGCCTCAAGCCCCGGTCGGCTCATCTGGGTTGGGGGGAGGACAACACCCCCTCTGCTGTCCAGCTGTAGTGGGGGCTGTGGAGGGCCGGCCGTGCTCAGCTGCCCCCTGCATCCCAGGCATGTCCGACTTCAACTACCTGCACAGCAACTGCTTTGAGATCACAGTGGAGCTGGGCTGCGTGAAGTTCCCGCCCGAGGAGGCCCTGTACACCTTGTGGCAGCACAACAAGGAGCCACTGCTGAACTTCGTGGAGATGGTGAGCCTGGCGGCCCCGGGCGGCCCCCTCAACCCGGGCACCGACTGGGCTCAGCGCCCCCCCAGCATGAGTCAGGTCTCGCTGGCCACCTGTCCTCCCACAGCCCTGGCCCTGGGGCTGCTGGAGACACCAGGGAACACACGTCAGGGTCCCCAGTACAGCAGGGGTCTCAAGGAGAGGAGTGGGGGACCAAGGCAGCCGGGGTGGGGGGCGCCTAATGTGGCCTCGGAGGCCGCGGGGTCTTCCTGGAGGAGGCGGCACCTGGGCCGCATCTTGAAGGAGTAGGAGAAATCAGGCAACAGGACAGGGAACCCTTGGCGGCACATGTTAGAATTCAGTGTGGGCATTTAACACTTTCGGGGGTCTCGTGGCCATGGGAATGAGGTGTGCACTGGGCCAGGGCGAGCCCGGAGGTGCTGGCTCTGGGCGGCAGGGTGTCGGTGTGGTCCAGGCGGGGCCCTGGGCACGTCTGCCCCTCAGACTCAGAGGATAGGGCACAGGCTGCTGGGGCAGGAGTTGGGCAGCTGGACTGAGGGGTCACGCCTTGCCATGGGGCCACAGTCACCCAGAGATATGTGGGCTGGCCATGAGCGAGGGCCACGGAGAACATGTCTAGATGGCCCCCTCACTGGACCCAGAGAGTCAAGTCTCCCAGTGGCCTGGTGACCGTGCGGGGACTCGATGTCCCGCTGCCTCTCCCGGCCCTGCCCCGTGCCTCAGTCTCCCCCATGTGGCCTGCAACCGAGGGATGTGGTTTGAATAAGTAATATTCATGAAAGAAATGCAGGAATTCAAACTGAAAGATACTAATAATTTTATAGAAGCCTCTGCTTTTTCTTTTTCCAGAGCATTTTAAGACTCATAAAAATTACACATTGCACAATGTCCCAGTGAGAAGCAGACCCTAAGGGGAAAACAGGACTGCCTGAGGGGCACAGTGAGGGGTCGTACATGTACAGCCCTTTCAGCTGGTGCCCCATACGTGCCGCATTGAATCCTGACGCCAGTCCTGCCCAGCAGATGGGGCTGCCCCCTTTTATAGGTGGAGGAACGGGGGTCCCGGGGAAGGAGCGGGCTGGTCGGGGTCACTGGGCCATGCAAGGATCCCCCTCCTGGCTCACAGTGGCTGTGAGACTGCTGGAGGTGGAGACAGAGGGTCAGAGAGCTACCTGCCGGGCTGGCCCAGTCTCGGCAGCCACCGCGCCGCCCTGGAGCTCCGATCCGCCCAGAGCCCTCCCCTTTCTAGAAAGATCCGGAGCCTTCCTCCGGGTAAGAAGCAAGGGGAGCTTCCGGATCAGCAGCCGCAGCAAGACCCCCGAGCAGGACTGGGCGTCGCTGGCCCCAAGCTGCTTCCCGGAGGCCATGCCGGCGGCCTCGCTGCGCGGGGCAGGGCCGGTCCTCGTCAGTAATGGCCGGGGGCCAGGCCTCCTGGCTCGTTTCATTTTACGGCTGTCTGGTGAAAATGAGTTTTAAGGACCCTTAAATGGAGCTGGGATTGCTCCGTGGATATTGCATGTGAAGTCTCGGGGTATAAAGATTTAATAGCCAGCAGGACACAGCAGAAGGCTGGGCAGCCCGCGGCCGGGTGTGGCCAGCCCCAGGAAAGCCGGCCCGGCCTCCTGATAAGCATCAGTCTGTCGCGTCCAGTGAGGCCTTCCCCACAGTGATCCTGGCCAGGCCTGGGGCGAGGCGGGGTGTCTCCATCCCGCTGGTTGAAGGGAGGGGAGGGGCAGGCCCGCCATCTCTCCTCCCCTGCCTGAGAGCTGCACATCCCTGGTTCTGCATGAGGATGACTCTTCAGCCCAAAAGCAAAGGTGGACCAAAATCTAGCCAGTGCAGGCTGGCATTACATGAGGCCCTACTATGTGTCTGGCCTCTGTTCCCACCCAGGTTGGGGGCGAGGGAAGGGAAGATGGTGCATCGAAGTGAAGGCAGGGCTGGGGCAGTGGAAGCCCAGGACCGTGGGATCCCGAGGAGACCCCTGGTACGGCCAGTTACCAGGGAGGGCTTCCTGCGTCTCGACGCAGGAGAGGAGTGGGCCAGGTGAAGGAGATGGTCGTGCGTTCTGAGCGGAGGAGGGGCCAAGACAGAGACTGGAGGTCCTGGGACAGCACTGAAGGTGTGAGGGCAGCCTCTGGGGACAGAGCAACCCCTCTGTGCCGAATTTCCCCTCCCACCCAGGTGTCCCGGCCTCCTTTGATGTGAGCTTCGGACCTCTAGTTGTTTTCAGCCCCATAGAGCAAGGGTGTCCAGCTTGTTCATTGCTGATTGCTTTTGGAGAAGGACTGTGCACAGGACGGCGAGTTCCCGGAGGTGCTTCCTTTGGAAAGTGCAGCTCCTAGTCTAACCCTGATGTGTGCTGAAGCGGCAGGGCATCTGCTCAGGAGCGGCTGTGCTCAGAGCCAGGCCATCACGAGAGTTGGGCAGTCCTGCGCCTGGCTTGATCGCTGCACCTGACGAGTGTTAATTCTCATTCTCTGAGCTGGGCGTGGTGACCCTGTGTTACAGATGGGGAGACTGGGCCAAGATGCCAGGTAGCTTGCTTAAGGTCAGAGAACGGGCTGGTGCCTGTCCAGGACTGACACCAGGGTCCCAAGTCACAGCCGTGTCCTCCTGCCGCCCCACATGGTCTTCGGAACCTCGGCTCAGAGAGGACCCGCTGCACTGGCTCTGGTTGCAAGGGCAGAGACTAAGCTGTGCTCACAGGTGGACACCAGGGGGCCTTCTGCCTGGCGCTCGTGGCCCAGGAGCTTCAGCCAGAGCGCTGAGCTGGACCGTGGGCTTTCATAAACCAGGAACGGGATTGATCGCTGGAGCGGGGCCCCAGGGATGGGCTCGCCAGTCACCCTCACTCCACAGATGAGGAGACCGGGGCCCAGAGAATGGTGACTTACTCAAGATGGCAAGGCGAGTCGGGCACAGCTGGGCTCAGCCAGCCGTTTCCCCGGAGATGGGTGGAGACCAGCTGGGGTGGGGCTGCTGGGCCCTCTGGAGGGCACGCGCCGTATCTCTGCCCTGTCCTTGGTCTCCTCAGGTGCACCGGGGCATTAAAGGCGTGGTGATGGACAAATTTGGCAAGCCAGTCAAAAACGCCCGCATTTCAGTCAAGGGCATCCACCACGACATCACCACTGGTGAGCGACTCCCAGGGGGCTGCTCGGTGGGTGGGGGTGGACGGGAGCCCTGGGGTCTGCGTCAGCCGTGATCTGTGTCTCCTGCGGCACCGGGCCCAGTGCATGTGGATGCCCTGTTCCCTAAGTAGGGACTGTGCTGGGCAAATGCCACCTTCTCAGAGATCATAGGAGGGAGCCCGTTTGTTCACACCCCAGAGCTTATATCCCACAGATAAGCTGGTGTGTCTGCGTGGGCTCTGGGCGCCCTCAGGGATTTCACAGCTGATTTTAAAAATACTGTACCTGGTGATGAGAGAGCCTGCTGGAAACACAGTCCAGAGGAGGGAGGGGTTGCTGACTCTGTGCAGGACGGCGTGGTCTGTGAAGGCTTCAGACGGCAGGGCTTTGAGGGGTGAACAGAAGTTTGAGAAAGGGAGCCAGTGGGAAGGACATTCTAGGCCAGTGCAGAGGCAAGTGCAACCTTGGGGTTTGTCTGCTGTCCAGGCCGATGTCCCCCGGCCCCCCCATCCCCCATCATCTCAAGGCTGCCTGAGCCCAGGCCTGACAGTCACTTCCATTCCATTTGTCCATAGCCCCAGATGGTGACTACTGGAGACTGCTGCCCCCAGGGTCCCACATTGTCATTGCTCAAGCCCCCGGCTACTCCAAGGTCATCAAGAAAGTCACCATCCCTGCCCGGATGAAGAGGGCCGGTCGCGTGGACTTCATTCTCCAGCTGCTGGGGACTGGACCCAAGAAGTTCCTTCCTGGGCCTCGGAGAAATGGGCCCGGGCTCCGAGACCCGCCCGGTGGTGCTGGCCCACACGGGGAGCCCGAGGAGCCCCTGGGGGCCCGGAGACAGCCCGCGGCCGGCGGGAGCAAACCTTGGTGGTGGTCCTACTTCACGTCACTGGGCCAGCACCAGCCGCGCTGGCTGCTTAAGTACTAGGCACCCGCCTGCTCGTGCCAGGCACACGCCTGGCCCAGGGCTCCTGCTCTTGATCTGTCTTCCAAAGACATCCCACTAAGCCTTTTCCATTTTATTAAAGTGTTTTTACTCCCCTCCCACCGTGATGAGAGGCTCTGTGCGAGGCACCTGCGGGGGAATCCATGGTGCCTGATGGAGAGAGGGCCGCCCTGGCCTTGTGCACCTGTGTGACCCTGGGGCAAGGGCTCCTCTGCCCGACAGGTGACCGGAAGCAGGGCTGCCCTTCAAACCTGTCTGTGCCTGGTGGCCCTTTCCTGGAATGCCAGGCCTCCAATGTCGAGTGGCCTCTACTTGACAGACCGGGAACGGAGGCTCAGTGGGGCACATGACGCTCTAAGGACACACACGGAGAGGGTGGGGCCGGGCTCGAGCCAGACTCTGGGTCCTGTGGCTGAAGGCTGTGTGTCTGGGAGTATGTGCAGGTGGGAGGCAAAGGACAAAGGTCGGGGGAGCCTGACTGGGAGAGTAGGAGTGGGCAGTGGAGACCCCCTCAAGGTCACAGGCTCAAGGGCAGGAGAGCGAGCAAGGAACACCACCTAAGGGTCATGCTTAGAGGCTCCCAGGCTACTATAGGGTCCTGATTCAAGGAGGAAGGGGCTCCCTTGGTGCGTCCTCATCCTGTGATGCCACCAACTCAGGTCCAGGGAAACCTAAGGCCCCAAACTCCCCACAGGACCCCCTCCAGGCCCACCTCTCTAGGTCAGGTGGGTCTGTTGGTCCTGGGATCTATGGGGAAGGGAGTGATTGCCAGAGAGAGGGTGTACTAGTCAGCTAGGGCCGCATAACAAAGCCCCACAGACTAGGGCTCAGACCACAGACGGCTGTCTCCCGGTCCTGGAGGCTGGGAGTCAGAGTCAAAGTGTCAGCAGGGTTGGTTCTTGCTGAGGCCGTGAAGGAGGATCTGCCCAGGTCTGTGTCCTTGGCTTCTGAATGGCGTCTTCACCCCATCCCTTCACATCACCTTCCTTCCATGTCTGTCTGTAAATTCTAGGGGGGACGTCATCCAACCCATCGGACCAGGATTGTCTGCAATGCAGTCGGTTCCTTGCTTCCTCCTGGCTGTGTTCTTGGGCTCCCTTATGTCCTATTGTCCTGGGCTGGGGCAAGGTTGACCCCCACAGAGAAGCAGGGTATCCCATTGGAGCAGTGCCTTGACCCCAGCTGAAGACTAGCCTGACCCCTACCGGCACCATCAGCATCGTTGGATTGCTTCCTGCCGCCCCGGACCGAAGCCGACGAGAGCAGACGTGCTCTGACGCTGGGTGGCGGTGTTTTCACGGGGGGAAGTGCAGGCGGGGACTAGGGCATCCCCCTGTCGCACGTCTGGCTCCGGCTCAGCGGTTCAGAGTTTGCAAAGCGAGCGTGTGCATCCAAGGAGGACACGTGCTTTTGTCGAGCATCTCGTAGGTTTTGGAGCCCCTCTACTCTGCAATTGCCCATGGGTCTGTGCTTCCGAAGGTCAGCATTTATTTAGCCCCACTGTGTGTTAGGCACTCTGGACTCCTGTCCCTGCTGCACGCATGTAGGTGCCGCCCAGAGAGCTTGTGTGATGAGCCCAGGACCCTGCAGCCTGTGGGCAGCAGCTCGGTGCCTCCCGTAGGACAAGGTTCTTGCTCTCACCTGCTCTGCTGTTCACAGCAACCTCCGGGGGTCTTCCCGTGTGAGAGGCAGAGACAGCTCAGTCCAGCGCCTAGTTCACACCAGGAGCTGAGGGCAGGGCCCCAGGGTGGGGATGAGGATGAGGAGACAGATGTCCGAGAGGCATGGGGGACCGTGGAGACGGGGCAGGTGTCTCCCTCCCAGCCCCTTTCTTGTGCTCACACAGTTCATCTGTGGCCAGTGGAGACCTCGTGGTGGCTCCTGCGTCCTTTCAATAAGACTGGCCTGTCCTCGGGGACACCCTTTCCATTTGGCAGCTCCTTGAACCAGGTCCTCTAGCTCAGCCCCATTTTCTCAAGTCTCCTGGCTTCTATGGTGGGAAACAGTTTTTGGAAGCATAACCTGTGCACTGGGCTCCTCATTGCCGCCCCACTAGGGTTCAGGGGCGCATCGTGGCTTCTAGGCTGAGCAGAGGACAGAGCTGGGAATAGGTTTCCTTTCAAGGGGGAAACATTAATGGCTTCCTGTTGAAGACTCCAGTCTAAACTTAGAATTACTTAAACCCACTCTGAGCTCCCGGTTTTCAACAACGGTGGGAAGGACTGAGCTAGTGTCTGTAAGAATTACTTTGTTGCTTTATTCCTGATACGTGTACCCCAGCCTCAGCACGACCCCGCCACCCACAGTGTGATGACCAAAAACAGTTCAAGATTTTCCTGTGTCTGTGTGTGTGTGTGTTTGTGTGTGTGTGGTTCCTTTTGTCCGTAGGGAAACAAGCCAACTAAGGATGCAAGGTCAGATAATTAGCTTTCACTGGTCCTGGCATCGGAGGTCGCGAAGCCATCGCAGCGAAGAGCCGCGGGCACGCCCTGGAGCAGGCGCTGCAGGAGACGGCTGTGGGTGGGGAGACGTGGAGACTCAAGAAGGCAGGCAAAGGTTCCAGAAGGAGAAACCATGAGTATTTTTTTTTTGAATTTGAGGTTGATGTAGCCAGGGACGGATACAGTGACAGTAGGCATTACGCGCCTCCTCCTTGTGGGGAAAAGTTGGGAACTCGTTCACTTCTCAGGACAGCTGCATCTTATTCCATGAAATGTGTGGGCTTTCCAGCTTTACTGAGATATAGCCAACATGCAGCCTTCAGTAAGGTTACGATGCACAGCGGATTGATTTGATACACTTGTATATTGTGACATGATTGCCCCAGTGGGATTGGTTAACGTCTCCATCACTTCACATTGTTATCACTTCTTTTGGGTGAGAAGATTGAAGATCCACGCTCTTGGCAAATTTCAAGTATGTAATACAGCCTTGTGAACTACAACAGACACCCAGCATCACTCATCTTGCAGCAAAGTTTGTTCTGCACGTGAGTAACATTCCTAAGAACCATGCTTTGTAAACCCAAACCCACTTACCAGGTGAATTAAGGGGGAGCCTGTGGCTTGCTCCGCGTTAGCATCGGGGAAGGCCACTCGGGAGAGCGACATGAGACGCAGAGTCAAAGGACCACTGCGAGAAGAGTCCGAGGGAGAAGGGGTTGCGGGGACGGGTCCTGCCGTGCCATATGCAAATCCTGGGGGGACAAGAACAAACGGTAGAAAACATCCGAGCTGATGATGAAGTCACAGCTGCAGAGGGAAAGAGTGCGCAGGCTCCAGGCAGGACGCGCAGGGACACACCGCCAGGTGCAGCCTGATGATCTTCCTGAAGCCTGGGGAGGAGCAAAAGTCTTACCACCTTTTTAAAGGAAAAAAAAAAAACAACAACTTACAGAGGACAAAGCACCAGATTGGTATCGGACTTGTTGTCTGTTACTCTGAGAGCTGGAAGTGATGCCACCAAGCACTGGGGAAAGGCTGTGCCCAGCAGCCGATGCCTCAGTGAACAGTGGGATAAGCTATCGTGGTAAGAGCTGATGCCCACGATGTTCTCCTGCCCAGGTGCTGCTCAAAGTGCCTTCCGCCTGCGAGCTCATTTAAGTTGTTACCTCTCATTGATGAGCGTTAGCATCGCCCCCATCTTGTGGGCACAGAGAGGTTCAGTAACTTACCCACAGTCACACAGCCACGGTTGGAAGCCTGAACGGGTCTGTGCTCTTTGCTACTCTCTCACTGCCTCCTCAGACAGAATCCGTGGGTCACCGACAGAAAGAGATTTCCAGATTTTCAAGGATCAAGGGAAGACATCAGCAACTTAAGGGACTGAAAGCAGGGTCCTCTTGCCGGGCTCGTTGCGAGACTGATGTCAGAGCGCCGGGCCCTGGGCTTTCAGTAAGAAAAGGAGGTTGGGGAAGCCAGCCGCGGGCTAAGTGGGTAGCCTCTGGCGGCAGGAGCTGGTCCTAGCCCTCCCGCAGTGGCCCGGGTGCCGGGAGGGGGCACTTCCAGAGGGAGCAGAGGTCGCAGCCGGGGCTGGGGTCCCTGGTGGCGGGTGTCTTGATTTCCTGTAGTACTGCTGGAGTTTGAGGTGGAGGCAGGGAAGGGAAGGGGACCCCTGGTGGAAGGAGAGAGCCCAGGTCACTCACAGACGCTGATGAGGAGGAAGGCGTTGGGGGCGAACAGCAGCAAAAGATGAGCAAAAGCGAAAAGATCCCAGAGAAGGAGAACGTGGACGGTGAGCAGGAAGGACGCAGAGGAGCGGGACGCAGACCGCCAGGGCTGTGCACGCGCTGGGGTCCTGTTAGAAGACAGAGACCCCAATCTGGGCTACAGAAAAGGCTGTATTTTAAAGAAGCATGCTTCAAGGCAAGGGATACAGAATGCTTGAGAGCAAAGGGGTGTTCCAGGGACGCCCAGAACTCCAACAAAAGGACAAGGGTAGCATTTTCAGTCCAGAGAAGGAGGAACTGAACGTCCAGAACAGTAAAAGGGAAAGAGGCTTTTCGAAGAACTTTAGGAGCAATTTGCGAGTAACATAAGATAATAGACCCACATTTACAGTAATCAACTTAGTGGCTAACTATTTTGTGCCAAGTTATTTAAAACTGTAAGGAGAATGTAATAAAGGCAGGATTCCGACAGGGATTGCCATGTGCCATTTTCAGAATCAGACTCATCTAGCGGATGACAACCTAGCCAATCAGGTTTTAGAGCAATGGCGCCCCGCCATCAGCAAACTCAGTTTAATGGATGTATGCAAACATTTCATACTTCAAACAGAGGCTACACGTTCTTCCCAAGGCCCACTAAGCATTTACAAGAATGGATAACATCTGTAGTCACAGAGTAAATCTTCAGAAAAATTTCAAAGGTTGAGATTTTCTCTAGCCATATTCTTGAAAAATTCGAAATGGTAAATAACATTTTGACCACTTGCCTCCCCCCCGCAAAAAAAACCCCCAACCCTTTACCACTGAGAAAACGAGGTGCGCGCTCTTCAGCCATGCTCTCCCCCAGAGAACGGGGAGCTGCGGCAGGGAGTCAGCAGAAGAGTGAACGCGGCCGCTGGGAGTTTGAAGGCTGGGCTGGGCTGTGCCCACACAG